TAATTCTAAGGTACATTAAACATGCTCACAAAGTCAACTAGTTCTCATTATTCCTTGAACAGCATGTCATTTATCACAGAGAAAAATCAAGAAAAAGATATATCCACGACCATTTCTGAAGGATAAACGCAGAGTTTTCCTATGCTAATAAGAATGGTTAGAAGCTAGCATACACAAGAAACCTAATTACCATAACATTTACATACCATTAGAGGTGTTGAACTACAAAGTTAAAAGCATTGAGTTTGTCTATCAGAACTCCTCTGTCCCATTAACTCTCAACTTCTCGAAATTGGCATGCTTAAACACGATGAAATTAACCCTAATACCCCAAATGTTTGAAAATACTTGTCATGTCAAATTAGAGGAAAGTACAAAACAGTAAAAGGAAAAGCATGTTTTATTCTCTCATCTTTAGAAATCACCCACAGTTCTAAATCATACAATGGCTAACCAACTCTACTCAAACCCAATCATATAATACAGTAAACTAACTTAAATTTCATTTTTTTTTTTGTCTTTGGGAACAACAATCACACACTATTCAAACAAATCAGCTCTGTACCAAAATATGAACACAGAAAAATCAAAAAATATTTCGAATCAGAGGTTGAGCCATTCTTTGAAATTCAAACGAAGTATCAAAACAGGATTGATTTTCCCTTAGCTTCTCTGATACACATATGAACCAGAAATTTAAAATTAAAAAAAAAAATCACCTTTTCAAGCTCATCCTGAATTTCCTGAAGCTTTTCGATTGAGATAACAAGGTCCCCATCGTGTTCGGTCCCGTTCTTATCTTCCTCCACCTCTATCACTTTCTGCTTCTTCCCTTTGTCCGCTCCCATTAGTCTTGAAATCCGGAGAATTTTTACAGGGAAAAGATAATAGAACTGTGGGACTCGACCGGCTACTGAAGGCCTCTGCTAAAACCCTAGAAAAACCTCGGGCGGAGTCGGAGGTGAATAGAGAGAGGACTGAGGAGAGCAGAATTAGGGTTAAGGATTTTGGAGACACTCACAATCGTTGGATCAAAATTTGGGAACAAAATCGGGTAATGAGTGGAAATATGACTCAAAATTTGGGCCAAATTTCTTAATTAGGCATAATTATAAGTATGGATAAGAAGTACAAATTGCAAAGTAAAAAAAATAATATTAAAAATTAAATTATTTAAGTTCTGACTCGACCTCATTTTCATATTTTCTAAACTTTCAATGTGAATAGTTAATTTTGACTCGATTCATTATTTATAAAGTTATTTAATAAAGTAGACATTATTTAAGTATATTACAAATATTAAGGATAATTAAGTTAAATTGTATTTGATTTTGTTAGTTTAATTAAATAATATTTAAAATGTAATAATTAAAAAAGTTTATATAATTTAAAAGTATGAGAGGGTTATCAGCCGGGGCGATTCATGACCCGACCCGACTCGGTCGTCGTGCCTCAAAAGATGGACTAGGAACCGGCCCGACAACATCTAAGGATTGGTTCACTGAACCGGCTCAATGAACCGCCAGTTTTTTCAATAGAAAAATAAAAAACAACTCGGACCCGTCTTATGTTCTGGAACCGGCCTAGAACTGGGGGACAATAAAACAAAACATAAGACCAAAACTTGCCCGATTTTACCACGGGTAGGGTTCCGAGACCCGTAGATCCGGACATGGTCGGTGGGCCGGGCACTTGCGACCTTTAAGTTATTGGAAGTGATAGTTAATTAAAATTATGTGAGTGAATAAACAATGAATTAAAATTGACGTGATCTGCAAGTATTATTGATCATATTATTCAATTATATTATGAAATGTATAAAAAATATGACAATTGTATAGAGTAGATTTTGATTGGTATAAAATAACTCAATTGGTCAAAACTGATTAAACTTTGTTATGGCTCATATCTAATCGTCGCCCAAGAATCCCATATGAATACCCCATAAGGTTGCAGTAAATCATCCGGCATCATATGGCAAATATGATCATTTTTTGTTTATACTTTATATTGGATATACACAAAATGATGGACAACCTCGCGTCCGAAAGGTGTTTGAGAGTACCCATTTGTTCATTTCTAATTCTGAGCTTCAAACACTAATAAGTAGTAAGTTCACTAG